TGAACTATTCAGTGAAAAGTCAACAATAAAGTGTATGAAATGCGTTCGTCAGATGCATGCCAACGTTTCTGAATCGAAAGTAAATGGATAAAAATGTATATTTCAGGAATCGTGTCTTCACCATGATGTTTTCTTAATACTACATCATATACCGGGCTATAAATTACTCAAACTTCATTTCATCGTTAGACAGTAGCAAAACAGAAACAGTCTGGGATTCACTCCGCCGCATTCTCCGCAAGCCTCATCTGTCAGAGTCCGATATGAAAATAAACTAGGTAGCTCACATAAACGCTGAATTTCATTACAACTTTCATTGCACCTCACTAACCATTTAATATTCCCCCAGATATTTCCGACCTAGGAAAACTCGCATACATTTTCCTTTCATGATCGCTCCGACTGACGTTTCCAGTACATCGCTGCGGAATAATATTCGAAAAATTTGATTTATTAACCCCTTCAATGTTTCACTGACGTTCAATAAATGCAGGAGGACGTGAATGGAAAGATAACGTTTCTTCCAATTGACTTTTTCGCGATATTACTATTCATACGACGTGAACTGATTGGTTTGTGTATCGGCTCGTGCATTTGAATTAGGCAATGCGTTCTGGATCTGAGCGAGAATGTCATTCTGAAGGGAGTTATGGGTTTTCTTAGAGCGTGTTGGTATTCTCTAATAGGCTCAGGTGCGGTTTTAATGGCAAATAAACATTGTAACTGATGCTCCAGTGGAAAAACGCAAGATGCAGACCTGAAGAAAAAATCTACATTGAGCTGATGCAAATTAATATAAGGAATCCGGATAGCGACTGTAACTGGAAAAATTCCGTTACAACAATCTCATTTAGCAGGCATTGATGTAATAGCAATGAAAGGATTCATTTCACGCATCAAAATATTGTCTATAAACATGTGTGAATTAGTCAATCAATTAGTATCCAAAAAATTCCTGGGGAACTGAATATTCCAAAAGAAGTGCCAGTATTAGAAAAAAAAATTTCAGCCATTGAAAGTTACAGAAGAATATGTATCCTGAACTTGGTTTCGAAAATGATGGAAAAGACGGTATACGAAAGAACAGTGAACTACTTAAAGCATTCAAAGCTTCAAATCCAAATCATCTGGCTGGAAAACTTTTCCATTCAGGCTCAAGAGGATACTCGAACCAATGGTTTGAATCGTACATTACCGATAGATGAATAGTTATAACGGTAAATGAAAAATACTTTGATCCAGTCCATATGAGTCTAGGGAAGCCACAAGAAATCGTTTATGGTTCTTCGTAGCGTTTGCTATCTTTGAATTTAAATAAGACAGAGTGTGTGTAGAATATCATCGAAAAAATTGTATTCGTTTGGAAGATATATTGATGCCACTATGTTTGAAATATAACATCGTTTCAATAATCGACATGCCTCCTCTGGGTGAAGGTCATCCAAAACATTGTTCAATTTTCTATTTTCTGGCACATAAATCGGGCTGAATTCAACTGAAGGTATTTGAAGGGATTCCGTGAGTTGGGTTCCCTATTGGGCACGTCCCCAGGTGCCGGATAGGGGAACGACCAGGGGACCGGGGTCCCTGTCCAGAAAGCCAATGTGGCCTTACGGATGGGGTGGCCGGACTTCTGGTCAGTGGCAGAAATAAGTAGGGTGAGGGGAACTGAAACTCATTAAAAGCCTTTGCGAAATATGCCACCGTGGACCAGCCTACCCTTCCTAACGTGTAAGGAATCGTGCCGACAGCTGAATGACCGCAGGGTGATATGCGGTAACGAACAATACTTTTGGTGAACCGGGCGAAACCTCATTGTAATCAGCCTTCCTCTGGTAATGCGGGGCTCTGCCAGAGGTGACCAACCCTTTGTCTGTTACTCGTGGGAACACACATAAATGAAACAGACACAAAAATTGATACAACAAAAACCAATCGCGACGCTGAGCAGAAGTGCTCACCTCAATATATGGCGGTGGCTGGGAATGGTCAGAAATGTTCACCCCAATCTACCGCTCGGAATGAGGCTGGACATAGCAGATAACCTCGTGATGTAATACAAAGGTCAAGGAGTAGGCGCATTTGCTGCATCGAGGTCAAAAGGAGAAAGAGCGCGAAAGAGGCAGGAGTGGCAACAACTATAAGTGCACCCTCCTCTCCCCCCTATTCCACCTCCGACAGCAATGGCACTTCCTGCGGCAGGCGCCAAGAGCTCCGCCTTGAATAAAGGCAAGAAACCGGCTGCTCCTGCAGGAAAGCGCCCTCACTTGAGCACCTCTACGGAGGGAACCCGAAGAAGGTTGAAGAAGCCGCGCAACGACAGTAATGTCGCTGCACCTTCCAAAACCTTCGAACCTGAGACATCTCAAGGTTGCCAAAGAGAGTTGTGTGTTCGACAAGACTTGGCCTACACCTGCTGATATGAAGAAGATGTCTCCTAGTGACCCGTCCACCTTCCTGGAAAAAACAGGATGGACGATGACCTAGTAGGACAACTCCTCGGGAGGATATACAATGGGTCACATGTGGCCTAAGTGTTGTGGGTCTGAAGGGTCTACACTCACCCTCCCTACTCTATAGATACAGATGAGTTATGTTGGCTTTGAGGACCTTTGTGATTTGTGGCATTTTCGCATATACCTGCGACTTAAGGAAACCCCACAACAAAAAGTCTAACGGGGTCAAATCACATCCGCGTGAGATGACAATGCCCTAAAATCGCTCGTACAGAATATCCAATGTGGCATGAGCTGTGTGGCATGTAGCGCCGTCATGTTGAAACCACATGTCGTTGGTGTGCAGACCATCCAATTCTGGCCAGAAGAAGTTGGTAATCATCGACCTAACAGTGATAGCCTAGCCAACGTCGTTCTCAAAAAATAAGGACCGATGACGCAGCCAACCCAAAATCCACACCAAACAGTAACTTTTCCGAGATGCATTGGACTCTCTTGGATCTCATATGAATTGGTATCATCTGAAAATAGACAATTTTGTTTGTCCACGTACTCATTCATCCAGAAATGAGCCTCATCGCTGAGGTTGATATTTCTCAGAAAACTAGGGTCAGTTGCCACGTGCTCCAGAGCCCATTCAGCGAACATACGTCGTTTTCTATGGCTGTTTACCTTCAGTTCCTGGGTCATTTGTTGAATTTTGTACGGTTGCAGGTCCAAGCTATGCGACGCAAAATTTGCCAAGTTATGGTCTACGAAAGGCTGAATTCTTGTAAGCGACGCGAAATCTACCGCCTCGAATTCTCCTGTACACTCTCACAGACAGGTGCGATGTTTCTGGCAGATCTTGCGTTTCGTCAAAGGGTTTTGGTCGATCATTCACTGAACCAGTTGACTCAAATTTATTGACATTATTGCAAGTAGTCCTCTCGGTAGGACGATAATGGCGGCAGTTAATTGGGCGAAACGCGCGGTACGTTGTTTGATAAATCAATTTTATCATTTGCACGTGTTGTTGAATGCTATATCCGTCGATGGTGATTTGGCAGAACATACCTAATAAATGACAACTAATTTGACCGATGTAGCTTCAACGAGATGGCCGTTATCAATTGTGAAATTTTGGAAGTCCCTCTTGGAAAACCTTATAGTTTTGCCGAAATTAAATAAAACGGAAACCTGAACATGTCTTTGAAAATATATATGGAAACAATAATCTCATTAATAACAGAGATGAAACGACATTTATCAAACTGTCAAACAGAGATTTCTATACTGTACCAGTCAACTGTCAGTTTCAAATTCCAGAATGTACTCAAGTACTCAGCTCTGCAGTAAATTGACATGATTCATATTCGTTCTTCAGTATAAAGCATCTTGCAGAAGAACCGTTAGAAACAATCGCAAATTTTTCGTAATATAACAGTTTTGACATGCATATAATAGTTATATTCCCCGTCAATTTTGATTAAATTATAACCAACTCTGAAAATGTGGATCTGAATATATATTAGCAAGACCTGCTGCTGGACCGACAATGTCTGTCGCAATGCCCATCGTGGTATTATCCAAGGTGGCAGTTGCTTTCTCGGTATATGACACTCTTCTTGGTAGAGGCATCAAACGACTAACAGAATCTTCGAGATACCAGTAATTATAGACCACCTCTTCATAACTGGTAGTTGCACTATTCATTGACAATTAATAACAAATTGATCTTGAGTCAGTAAAGCAGATGGACGTCCATTGAACAACATCCTCCTTGTAACATCGATTTGAGAGCGACAACTTCTCAATTGTCACCTTTTTGATACTGATAAAAAAATCGGAGGCTAGGTGGTGCAGCCAGGAATCGTCTCCATGAGAGTAGCTTAACTCATGAATCTGCCCTGCGTTAAATTTTTGAGTGGTAGCATCTGCACGTGTAGAGAAAATAAATCCTCTGAGGAAGTCACCAAACGCTTTCACTCAAATGATGATTCACACAAGCCAGAAGAGAAAAAGTCCTGCATGTCTGAATCGAATGTATCGTGTTGTGTATATCTGATTCACAGATGTTCTCATATAGTAAGGTTACTACGGTCATTGATATGGAAACTTACACTCTGAACATCTGACAACCCCCCTCAGTATATTATTATAGCTGTCGTAGGGGAAATATCAGAAGATGTCCCGCAGATATGAATTTAGAGCTGCACATTCAGGTCTGGATGGTGACAGGTAACCTGAGAAGATGAAAGTAATTCCTGACTTGTGGGTGCACTAAGTACCTAAGTGCACTGAAATGGTTCAAGGAAAACCTTTTTCCAAAGCCACATATTCGTGTTGCTCAACGTTGCCAACGTTGTGTTGCCTACGAAGGTAGTCCTATACTGACCACCGATCAGGTTCTTAATATTTTCTACTCTTGCAAACTGGCCCACAAAGTCACTCATGAAATAAAGTGATCGGTTTCGTTAAAAAATTGAATTATTGGAGATTAAAAAATACTTAGTCACTTTGGAACTATCCCTATTCCTATATTGAAATTAAAACCAAGCTTACCGTATTATCATAGTCGAAAGGGGTGAGATTGTTATCAGTCTGTGGTGTCCGTTTTCCAAATCTGAAAATGAAAGTATCATATGAATATAAATAGCATTTCTAGTGAAGAACTTTCAACTGAATAAAGTAAACTTTACGAATATAGTTATGAGTACCAAAAATTGTGCTGATAAAATCATACTTTGACATCCTAGCTTCCTATTGGATATGATGTCAAAAAACCACGACCTATTGATATGAATGAAAACTAGAGCCCAAAATAAAAGCATTCTTGATCCATATCAGACACGCCATGAATCGTATTAGTGGTGCTATGCTGAACGACGAATGTACTTTTGGACAAACTGTTCTCAAATAACAATGGTTAGTATAACTAAATTAAAATTAATGTCTCTCCTCACGAAGATGCCAAACCGGCAATATGTATGATAATCGAGGTTCTTGCTCCAACCAGTTGTCTCACAATGAAATGTGCAGAGAAAGTTGGAAAACTAGTCTCGTACTGCAAATGATTACCCTTGATAGCCTCGTTTATCATTAAATTCCGTAGTTAGATTATTTTCGTAACGAAGTGAGGTAATGCTTACTGGTAGAGTGAACTGAATATCATATTTTTTTAGGAAATCACATCCGAAAATTAGTCAAAGGAATCCAATTCCGAATAATATACAAACAATAACAAAAACTTTATAACAATAATATTATCCTATCACATTCTAAATGAATGACATAGTCAAAAAATTGCAAAAATGTAGAGATTTACAAATACAATTCAATATTCGGTGAAAGAAATAATAAATGATCTCCAATTCTAATTCCATTTTTTAGTAAGTGAAAAGAGTAGTTTTCACTAGATTCATGTAGTATCCTGCAACTTTTTTTAGTGCAACAATAATCCACGCTACATTTATTGATTCCAACAAGTCATCCAGGAGAAATTCTAGTTAGCTTTGAGGAATGTTTGTATTATACAAGCTGAAGATTTACTGAAGTTAATCGAAAACCTTCAGCACTTTTTCTCTAACTTTCTCATTTTCGATATCCGTATTTATCCTGCGGAATCTTGAATTCGAATCAGCAAACAATTGTATTGAATTATCCTCCACTGAAGATGAAAGAAATTGATGGGATTCATTTCAACATTTGTTGAAACTGGGGCATTATCGAGTTTTACTTCCTCAACAGGATACATTTTTTGTTATGAATTGAATGATTATCGCTAGTATCGTACTTGATGAATGCATCATTTGTAGTAAGTGTCTAATGGAAATATAGACATGACATAACAGAGTGATTACTTCAGAGTGAACAATCTGCAGAATCAGGTGGAAATGAAGACATGTGAAATGAATATTCAATTTCAATTCTCATTAGCCTCCGTTAACTTCCAGTATGGAAATTGAGAACACATTCGTCAAAGTAACTAAGAGATCACGGATCAATATTCGTCGTAGAACTTTCCAGGAAAATAGATATAATTCGAAGGACCTATCCCAAAATTGTGTAGGATAACTTTTGACTGGTTCAGATTTTCGAAATTATTTTCTAAAGTGTATTCATTCAGTAGCAATATTATGAATGGAATATGCTTTTTTGACCATCAAAGTTGCTCGTGATGTATTTCCAGTTGTAGTCCACAGTTGCAACTGAACGAAGGAAACTGACATTTATCAGTATGGAATATGAATATCAATCGTGGCACAGTGTTCGTTAATGATTTTATAAATTGATCACCTAATAAGTATTTTACTGCGATTAGTTAGATCATACAAAATTGTGTGTTGACGTGACACTAACCTAGGTACTGAGAAATTAATCCTTTTCAGTAGACGGGGAGTCAAGCTACCCATTCAACAACTCATAACACTCAAACACTCAACAACTCAAAGTAAGCATGTGGTAATTTCCTCTTTCAAGATAATAACCGTGACATTCAAAAAAGAAGTACGTTTGAAAAATTCTCTGAACTAAAATAGTGTCCAAATAGGTGTTGAATATGCCAGTTTGCTCTCAATGAATGTACGATACAGTGTTTTTGAACTACCTGTGCTAGAGAAACTAAACAGAAAACACAATTATTTGAACCTTTTGAGAACAGCACTATTCATTGACACTACCGTACATGTGGAAATATTGGGTTTTGAAACACCAGAACTATAGTGTTCTCAGATCTGCTCGTAACGTAAATACAGTTATTCGAGATAGATATCGAGTTGAACAACTTCAGATCATCTGCAAACAAAAGATGCCCAGAATGCTGTACCAGAGATAAATCATTGATGGCTACGAGAAACAAAAGAGGGTCCAGATTGGATCTTTGAGAGACACCAGAGGTGCCTGAATGACAGTTGGAAGTATGACCTCCATATTTAACATAACTCATTCTATCTAGTTAACGAGACTCCATAAGTTCAACCAATGATGTAGATATTCTGATGGTTTTCAGTTTGGCCTCGATTCTTGAGACATTCAGAAATTATTTGAGTTATGCAACTGAAAACGTGAATTTATTGGTTGTACAATCAACATGTCCACAATATCGAATGCCTCAAATTTTCAAATATTAACGACGATCAAGGTCACGAAGCTGAAGCTTTTCTAATAATCAACGGACTTACTCAGATTTATAAATGAGCCAACCAGGATTCCTGTCCGTGATGGAGAATATGCTAGTCTTCTGGATCCATACCTAACAACCAATCCAGAAATTTACACAGTCACCGTAAGGTTTACATTGGGATCTACTGACCACAAACTCATTTCAGTGTTGAGTGAATTACCGATGAATATTGGGGAACAATCAAGACCACGCAAAGTTTGGCATCAGGATCACATGAATGGGAGGATCTTCAAGACCATTTTCGAAATTTTTCCAAGCTAGATGTTTGTTTCAGCTCTAAAGATCAATCAACTTGTGCTTCTGAAGTCACGGAAGTTAGTCTATCATCCATGGATGCATGTATTCATTCTTCAATGAAACGACCTTCTAACGGCAAACCATGGTTCAACAAAAATTGCGAGCAAGCTGTCTCCTCCAAAAATCTCTCCTACCGGCACTGGCGCAAAAATCCCAGTGGCGAAAACCGAACAAGCGTTATTAATGCTCGCAACAGCTGCAAACTTAGGGTAAATGAAAGCAAAGAACTTCACAATAGCATGTATTCATTCTTCAATGAAACGACCTTCTAACGGCAAACCATGGTTCAACAAAAATTGCGAGCAAGCTATCTCCTCCAAAAATCTCTCCTACCGGCACTGGGGCAAAAATCCCAGTGGCGAAAACCGAACAAGCGTTATTAATGCTCGCAACAGCTGCAAACTTAGGATAAATGAAAGCAAAGAACTTCACAATCAGAGAATTAGGGATAAACTGTTTGCCAATCCCAATGGGTCTAGATCCTTCTGGTCGGTAGCTAAAGCTGTTAATCAGAACTTTACAAAATCCATGATTCCACCACTAATACAAGCAGATGGTTCAATTGCAACAACAGTCATACAAAAAGCAAATCTACTAGCTGAATAATTTGCTTCCCACACCACAGTTGATTTTCTGGAAGAGGCACCACCCACTATTCCCACACTAGAATCCACAATGCCGGAAATTACTCGAAATCAACAAGGCGTCTGGCCCTTATGGAGTGCCCGTCATCGTACTTAAAAAGTGCGCAAATGAACTCGCACCTGTATTTTGCAGACTTTTCAACCTGTCCTAAAAGAAAGGGATTTATCCTTCTTGTTGGAAGATTGCTCGTGTTCAGCCTATTTCCAAAAAGGGCAAGAAATATCTTCCAAATAAATATAGACCAGCCGCTTTGTTATAAGTGATATCAAAAATCATGGAGAAAGTAGTAAACCACCATATCCTCAAATATTTGGAAGGCTTCAACATCTTGAGCGATCACCGATATAGCTTTCGGAAACAAAGATCAACAGCCGACCTTCTATCGTATGTCACCCATAGTTGGAATAAGGCAATCGGGAAACCACTACCTATTGATTTGAATAAAACTAGAGCCCAAAATAAAAGCATTCTTGATCCACACCTTACATGTCCCTTTTTGGGACGCAATCGAGAAACATGGAGAATCAAGAGTTGTTGCGCTTGATATTTCTGAGGCCTTGGAACGTGTGTGGCATGGGGGTTTGCTGGCCAATCTTCGATGCTATGGCTTGTTGGATAATTTCTGTGTATGGCTCTTCAGGTTCCTGAAAGAACGTTTCCTGCAAGTTGCTGTCCATGGATATCTCTAGAATACTTTCACCATCAACCCTGGTTTTCCCCAGGGATCCATATTGTGTTCAACCTTCTATTCATTGTGTATCAACAACTTATTGGAAAAAACAAGAATCCAATATATTGCTTAGCTGACGACAGCGCACTTGTCTCGTCATTCCATTTGGATTCCAGGACATTGGCTACGGGGGCATATCTTCCCCGGCAGCAGGAAGTAGCATATCTTAATAAGGATCTAGAAGTAATTTTGAATTGGGGTAAAAGTAACCAGGTTCAATTCAATGCCACAAAAACCCGGACATCGGTTTTCTTCAAGAAGACAGCTGTTAGACAAATATTGGCATGATTACTGAATTCTTCGAAAGATCCAAAAGTTTCAAGATCGGAAATACTATAAACATCTAAGAGAAATTGTGTTATTTCATCAACAACAACTTTTGAATTGAACATTTGAAATCACCGGATATCTGGGCTTGTTTTCCTTGAAGTTGACAGAAGACCAAAATTTTGCTGAATATCTACATATTATATGATGTGTTTCATATTGTTTGGAGCAGTTTCAATGCAATGTTTCATTGAACAATGTGAGGCGTTTACTTCGTTGAAATAACAATGTTTAGTCCTCGTCAATATTCAAATTAATTTTGTGCCTAATTTATCGCAAGTATACAATGACAAATATTATTTGAATTGAAGGGGTTAAATTTTCAGGAGTGATTAATTTTTGGGAGAGAAACTTTTTGGCTTTCCACTACTCCATCTTGATACAAAAAAAGGGATGAGGGAATCTTACAAAGAAAGGAAGGAAGTAAACAATTCGAAAATAA